TGTATTTTTATTTATTTATTTATTAATTTTTATTTTTTTAATAAAAAAGAATCATCAGCTCACGCACCTAATGTGCGTGTAAATCATTCATTTTGTCCACTTCAGCCATATTAATGTCGCATAAGCTCGGTCAACGGTCAGAAGGGTTTAAAAGTCTTGTTTTGATTAAGTTGAAGAGTCTGAATGAAACCTTATGAAGTGTAGGGACCGGGATTACAAACCGGAATAAGTACAAGTGTCTCCCAGGCTATTCTGCCTACTAAAATTCATAACCATGGAAAATGGGAAGAAAGAGGGAAAACGTCAAGTTGAATCCTTCTCCTTGTTCCAAGCATGTTCTTGCCTTTTCAATATCTTCCTCTCCTCCAAAGTAGTGTCTCCCCTCAAAAAGATATTTTAGGATGTATTTAAATCCATCAGGGTTTGTATGGGGCGGATTTAACACTTTTACTTCGAATTGGAAATGCTGGGGGCGCGTCTGAATGCACGACCCAGATCGCTCCCAGTTGTTGTATTCTTATGCTTTGGTCCCGGTCTGGTGAAGTGAATCTCGTTCGTTGTCCGGGACTTTTCTCTTTAACTCTCTGTTCACCAATTTTGCTCATATTTGATCCTTTTTCGCGCAAGGTTATTTCTACACATAAGAAACACGTAATGCGTACATTTTCACTTTAAAAACCATGTGATCCCCCATAACTCACATAAGAAATAATATGCAAATATATTAAAAAACATGCATTTTTCATCATTTATCAATCTCATCAAAATAAGAGGACTTAGCTAGCGTTTAGACATAGATTTCATTGAAACTTGAAAAAAAAAATTTGAAATTGTGTTGATTGAATATTGAAATGGTGTCTGGACATGCATTTTATTTGAAGAAAAGTTGAAGTTTTGTGAGTGGAAGAAAAAATTTCACCCGATAACTGTCCTAAACTAGTTTTTGAGAACTTGCAAATTTTTGAATTATTTTTCCCAAAACATAATCATATTTCATAAACAAACAATGTTTTCAATTTTTTTTTTTTTTTTGAAAAAATGAAGCCAAAATCTATGGCCAAATGGGAGTGAAAAGCCTGAATTGAAATTCTAACAACATTATTTTTAACTACAATCTTAAGCAGTAGCAATAAGGGAGTAAAGCAGAAGTTGATTGAGGTACTTATATCCATTATTATAATATTAACAGATAATCTTAAGCAATAGCAATTAGGGAGCAAAGCATAAGTTGATTGAGGTACTTATATCCGTGATTGTAATATTTACAGACAATAGTTGATGGTTTGGATCAACTGTGGTACAATGGAATATTCCTCTTGATAATATTTGAGAAAATTGCATTTAAATATGGAAAACTCTTCTTACAATTTATTTGGGATTTAAGAGTTTGTTTTTGCTGTAAGAAAGAGTCGAAGTCTTTTTTGTTCTTTGCCTCTGATTTACAAACATTTTTAAACGTCTCTAATTATAATTATTAGGACATTTTTAGTCTTTGAATATGTCAAAGTCTGTGTTAAAATGTATAAGGAATTGATGCCCAAACTGTATACGGTCAAAATCAGGCACGTCCGATTTCCCAGGCTCGAGGGATCGCCTTGGGTCCATGTTCGGGTAAGGTCGAGTTCGAGGTCGACAGACTAGACTCGAGCTCGAGGACGGAATGCAATGCCCGAAGATAGGAGTACGAAAAATACCGAAGCTGAGTATGCTCGATCCCGAATAATGCCGTTATGAACTTGTAACAGAATGGGAAAGATTCCTGCCGCGTCATCAAGATCATGGCGCAAATCCCGGAATAGAATTGTACAATTCCGTACTAGGCGGTTAGACAGCTGTACCAATGATATTCCTTACTGTAAATAGAAATGTACCTTATTTAGGGTTTCCCTATTTATATAAAGGGAACCCCAATCATTTGTAACATCATCTAATCGTTGAAAAAGAATATACTATCCTACTTTTCTCGCTTATTGTTCATCAGAATTGTCCTTTTACTTTATTGTTCTTGATCCATCTCGAGGTCAACTGCTTAAGTAACACTGGTTTGATTCATCTATTTCTTTCATCTACACTCTATATTTCTTGATTATTAATTGGTATAGAATTAAATCACATATATTTAAAACCACAAATCAAATTTAATTGTTACTCGTATTTTCGAGGTAAACAGTTTGGCGTCCACTGTGGGGCTAAAGATAATAGTGATTATTTCTTTACTGATTCTCATTACACACGTTATTTTTACGCTTTTTCTTGTGAAGATTTTTTGATTCTCAGGATTAAACATGTCGAACTCATAAAATTCACCTGTTCATGACAACGAAGTTCTTGGATTTCATGGGGAAAACAACAATTTAGGGGTCGGTGTACCACCGATAAACGATGGGGAAGTGCCAAATGTGGAACCAGTTGATGTAAGTTCACACATTGCTTTGGATGCAGATTTAGGCGCAGACCCCGGAGGGAGTGTACGCAGAGAAGCCCGATCTAGGGGCCAAGGAACACCAGGTATAGGAGATGGGGGAGTCAGCCTCCAAGTGATATTCGAGATGCTGCAAGCTCAGCAGATCGCCATCGCCCAACTTCAGAGCCAGAATAAAACTCCGAGTGTAGCTGAACCAGAAAACACTCGACGTGCTGAACCAGCGCCAGAAATAACTCGGGGACTGAACCCACCATTATGAGGATGCTCGAAGATCTCACCAAGAGGATCAAGAAGATTGAGGACAATGATAAGAAGGTAGAGACTTATAACTCCCGTGTTGACCAGATACCGGGGGCACCTTCAGTTTTGAAAGGTTTAGATGCAAAAAAGTTCATAGAAAAATTGTTCCCTAAGAGCGCGGCTCCGATGCCCATCCCTAAAAAGTTTTGCATGCTCTATATAACCAAGTATAACGGGACGATCGACCCTAACGAGCATATTACTTCATACACTTGCGGGATCAAGGGAAATGACTTGAACGACGATGAGATCGAATCTGTATTGCTAAAAAGATTTGGAGAAACGTTGCCAAAAGGAGCTATGATTTGGTATCACAACTTGCCTCCTAATTCTATTGATTCGTTTGCTATGTTAGCAGACCCCTTCGTGAAAGCACACGCTAGAGCCAAAAAGATGGCAACGAGAAAATCGCATGTCTTCAAGATAAAACAAAGGAACGACGAGATGTTGAGGGAGTTCGTGTCTAGGTTCCAGATGGAGCGAATGGAATTACCACCGGTCTCGGATGACCGGGCAGTACAAGCTTTTATGCAGGGTTTGAATGAAAGGAGCTCGATTGCATCTTGACAATTAAAACAGAATCTGATCGTGTATCCAGCTGTGACGTGGTCGGACGTACATAACCGTTACCAATCAAAGATTAAGGTCAAGGACGACCATTTGGGGCCCCCTTGGGCTTAGTTTATCCTAACAAGTCGGCTGCTAAGCCCCCGAAGGATACAGATAGAGA